AAGAACACCTCTGAATCGCAACTCAGTTGGACTAAATTAAGAAGAGGAAGCAGTTGTCCAAACGCCCTTCTCTCGATCTGGTATAAGATTAATCAGTATCCTGAAAACCCAGAATGCAGGGCAGTATGTTTGTTTGTAGACTGCAAAACGTCGGTTTTTTCCTCAAAATCAGTAAAAAAAAAACGGTAAAGCGTGGAGTAAGAGTCTTACGCGTGAAGCGCGCGAGCCTCACACGCCCCACAGGCGTGTCAGGCGAGAGAAGAACCGACCGTCCGTTTTCCATAACGAGATCGTTCCGACCAGGGGGTTCAAAATAGCCAGAGTATCAGGCCTTTCTGGGGAAAAGGGGAAAAATGGAAGCGAAAAAGGAAGAGAGGTCTCCCCTAGCCCCGTAGGAAGGCCTAATACTCAGGCTAGGTTCAAAAATGTCGTCGAGCTGTCAAAAATCTGTTCACAACTCCACCCTCTTTGTGTATTTGATACACTAGGTGATTGATTTCGAGGGAGAATAGCTCACTTTTCTTCGAATCTTGACGCTGTATCCAGTAATTCTAAAGCAGTTTTTAGTGTTGCTTCTCACTGAAATGTAGTGTATATAGTGAAATATAGTGTATATAGTGGAGGATCAAAAATTAGTATTTTTAGCGTCTCTCCCCAGTCTCGTTATCTGTTTTCAGCCTCGTTCCACACCTTTTGTTTGACTGTTCGCGCGTACTTGAATACGCAAAAATACGGACTGTTTTGCAGTCTACTCCCGTTCAACCCTTATGCTCAGCTTTCTAAAGGGCAGTGAGCAAAGCGGAGTGAAGAGTAATCACGTAACAAAATTGTTGGTCTCTATAATTGTGTCCTACCCCACGTGTAAAGGGAATCTGAATTCCGGAATCCAGGTAGTTTTTGCTTGTAGAATCAGCAATGTGATAAAGTCTCGCTTGTACAATCAGCAATCCTGGGCTTTGGAATTCAAAATACAGCCCAAGGAATACGGAATCCCTATAACGACTGGAATCCAAAATCCAAGTGCCACGTAAAAAGGCTGGAATCCAGTACCTGGAATCCCACGGCATGGAACGCCAGTGTAAGACAGTCTTACATGGAGTGATGTGTTAAAGCACTCTCGCTGGACGTGCCTTTTCTCGAGATATTTAGCCATATCAGCACAAATTGTAGCAGGCTATTAAAAGCCGAGACATCAGTCAGTTTTACCGAACAAGTCTTGCAAGGACCACTTCGACAGACAGCAGCGAGGGAAAACCGGATCTTGTCGTAGATCAGGATCACTGAGCAGTATAAAATAACA